GACTGGGGTGGCTCTGCGGGCTCCTTGGGGTGGAAGCTCTCCTGCAGCCCCCCGATTGACCTCCCCCTCCGGATGGCAGCCTGCGGCAAGTGCAGCTGGGCTGATGGCTGAGTGCTGTGATGTGCTGAGTGTGGGCATTCAGGGCACTCCAAGTCAGGACTGCTTTGCTGTCCCTCATCGAGTTAGACAAGCAAGCGGGGAACCCCTGAGAACTGTCTGTCCAGGGTGGGGGTCGGATCCCTTTAAGCACAGCCCTCGGCTAGCCTGAGACAGCAGCTCCACGCTCTCAGTCCGAGGTAGACAAGCAAGCGGAGAACCCTGAGAACTGTCTGTCCGGGGTGGGGGTTGGGTCCCTTTAAACACAGCCCTTGGCTAGCCTGAGGCAGCAGCTCCACACTCTTAAGTCCTAACCTGATGCCCTGCCGGCACCTGTTCCGGCCAGCCTTAACTTCGGTTCAAGGTCCACCCAATGTGGACATGCTATATCGAATTAGCAAAACGCTAATTCGAATTAGTTTTTAGGTCTAGATGCACTAGTTCGAATTAGCTTAGTTCGAATTAACTAATTCGAATTAAGTTAGTTCGAATTAGTGCTGTAGTGTAGACATACCCTTGGAGTATTGTGTCCAGTTCTGGGCACCACATTTCAAGAAAGATGTGAAGAAATTGTAGAAGGTTCTGAAAAGAGCATAAAAAATGATTAAAGGCCTAGAAAACATGACCTCTGAGGGAAGGCTGAAAGAATTAGGCTTTTTTAGTTTGGAAAAGAGAAGACAGAGTGAACATGATAGAGGTTTTCAGGTATCTAAAAGGGTGTCACAGGGAGGAAGGGTGGAAATTGTTCTCCTTGGCCTCTGATGATAAAACAAGAAGCAATGGGCTTAAACTGCAGCAAGGGAGGTTTAGGTTGGATTTTAGGAAAAACTTCCTAACTGTCAGGGTGGTTAAACACTGGAATAAATTGTCTTAGGAGATATTTAAGAGCAGGTTAGATAGACATCTATCAAAGATTATCTATACGATGCTTGATCCTGCCATGAGGGCAGGGGGCTGGACTTGATGATCTCTCAAGGTCCCTTCCAGTTCTAGTATTCTATGAGTCTAACCCATGACTTCCATGTTTTGCAGTGCACCTTGTAGTTACCAGTCCATTTCAGACTCATGGTAACCACATTCAGTTCTCTGTTTGGATCCCCATTCAATACCCCAAAGAAAAAAGGGGTGACTGGTAGGTAATTTATCTATGCCAAAGGTTACAAACAATTATGCTAACTTGCTCTAACATAATCATATAGGATACAGGCCTCTGGGCACCTTGTATTATGGCTAAATATTACGAGTTGTACTAGAATTAGGTATAAACAAACCCCCCCAAAATAACAATATCATCAATCAAAACCAATGAAGACAGCATGTAATAGAGCAAGCTAGCAGACTAGCCTCATGGGCTACATGATTGAGTGACTTGTAAAGTATCATTTTAATTACATGATTTTTTTTTCTCTTTTGTTCCAGAGGACTCACTTTTCTCTATCAGCAGTAAAATCACTGGGAAATCCTGTGAATACAATGGCACCACCTACCAGCATGGGGAAATGTTTGTGGCAGAAGGGCTTTTTCAGAATAGACAACCTAACCAGTGCGCTCAGTGTAGCTGCTCAGTAAGTAATAAATTGATTGAATCCTGCTGTTTGCTCTGCCAGATTATCTTTGCTAGGAGACTAGCCTATTGAACCTTAACTAATATACAATAAAACCAGGACTGTGGAGGCTGGGAGTAGCAAAACAGTGACACATAAAAGCATCCTCAGAGCTAATATGCAACATCAGGTGAATGCCATTCTGCCTCCTACTCCAAACAGTAGACAAAATCTAGCATGTTGTGAATACTCTATACATGAGCCCACACTCCACACACTTGGGCATGTCTACAGTATGGAAAAGATCGACCCTCCGGAGATCGATTTTCTGGCATTCGATTTAGCGGGTTTAACCCCAAATCGAACACTGAGGCCAGCCCCCACCAGCATCTGTACTCCTCATTCTGTGAGGAGTAAGGGAAGCCAATGGGAGCATATGCTCCCGTTGGTGTCCCACAGTGTACATGCTTCAGCAGCTTGGCTTAAGGGAAGCCGAATCCAGCTATGTATTTTGCATAGGTGGCTGGTGTACCTTAAGCCAACCTGCCTAGACCAGGCCTTAAAGTAGTTAGGTGGCTGGTAACATTTTATTGCTTGGGGTATGTATAGTTTTCTGTCAACCTGACTGGAAAGTTCAACACTGGCTCTCTAAAAGAGGCCAGAATTATTCAGAATTCAGTAAAGATTCCCGCAACCAACCAATAGTCGTCATCACCTAGTGGCTGTTCAGAGCCACGCTATGAAATGAAACAAGCTTGAGTCTCTCTGCCACTTCTTGGCCAAACACTGGCCACATTTGGACCTTAATTTAGTCAAATCATCACCACATTTTGCATTCAGGAGCCATCTGGTCCCCAAGGTCAAATTCTGATTGGATTTGGAGATCATATGACTAAATACAGTCAAGGCTGAAATACACTGGTAGGGTAGTGAGTGGGGAGCTTTGCTTTATGGCATTGCCCATGTTGTACCTCTCTTGTGGACTGAGTCTCCTGGTACTTAAGGCACATTTCCTGATCACTTTATCTGTACCTTGCTTTGCATATTCTTCAGTACAATATGCTGTGTCTAGTCGCTAGCGTGGTACGTATGTAAACGTACAGAGTCAGATTCATATCTATCTGTATAAAAATAAATATGCATCACCAGACAGAGAGCACTTCTTAATCATCTTTGTTTTTAATCGCAGGAAGGGAATGTGTATTGTGGCCTGAAGACTTGCCCTAAATTAGCCTGCTCTTTCCCAGTTTCTGTTCCGGAGTCCTGCTGCCCGGTTTGCAGAGGTAAAACCTGCTACATAAGCAAAAGGGTACTATCTGCAAGCACTGTATTTCAGCAGATGTATCGTGGCTTTGTTTGGTTTTCTTAAAATTGGAATGAGCAATTAACACAGCAGAAGCAATGTTATGATAATGAGATGAAACAAGGATGCAGAGTATTAAAATATCTGCCACTTCTCTGGTAGACAAGCTTTGAAATAAGATTATGTATATATCCCGCAAGTGCTTAGACCTAGTCTTGTCATAAAACGAGAGCAAGAACTCAGTTTTTAGGATATGATCTATTGCCTCCAAGTAATGTAAGGGCACGTCTAGACTACATGGCTCCATTGACGGACCCATGTAGATTAGGGTTGTAGGCAAAGGGAAATGAAGCAGTGATTTAAATAATTGCCGCTTCATTTAAATTAAAATGGCTGCCGTGCTGTGCCGCCAAACAGCTGATCCCCACAGCACGGCAGCCATTTTAATTTAAATGAAGCGGTGATTATTTAAAATTGCCGCTTCATTTAAATTAAAATGGCTGCCGTGCTGTGCCGCCAAACAGCTGATCCCCACAGCACGGCAGCCATTTTAATTTAAATGAAGCGGTGATTATTTAAAATTGCCGCTTCATTTCACTTTGCCTACAACCCTAATCTGCATGGCTCCATCGACGGAGCCATGCAGTCTAGACGTGCCCTTTAAGTGCCTATCTCTGGTATTTTATTAGCAAGTCTGTTATAGATCCCAAAACAGCCCACATGTACACACAGGGAACTTAATTCTAGAGAAAGTCAAAATCCTACATCTGGGCCTCCAAATTTTGCAGGTGAGGCCTTCTTTTTAACTGTATGTCACCTATATATTTATAGTAGGGTTTCTGTGTCACCCACCACTGGAATACCTTAAGAAGTATAAACCAGCTTTTTAAATGGACATAGCTCACCTTTACTTCAGCATTTTGAAAATCCAACAAGGTGCCTATCTGGGTCCTTAGCAGCCTATATATATAAATATCTGACCCCTAGAGCTTAGTATTGTTACCTGGAAAATTAAGGAGCATTTATATTATTTGTAGAAAATTTGTGCCTACAGTACTCAACAGTGCACCAATGTATAGTGAGGGATTTATATTGGTTTAAGTAGCTTACAATCTGTGCAGCCAAGAAGAAAGAGAGGGAGAGGAAACTGAGGCACAGAGAAAAAAAACACAGCAGGTCTTCCAGGGCCAACTCAGCCACAAAACCCAGGTTTCCACAGTTTTTAGCCCAGTCTAGTCCCCCCACCCAGTAGGCCATGCTGGTTCCTATTATATTTCTAGCATCTAAATGAAGAAACATTATATTAGGCAACTTGGCTTTGAAACTCTCTGCACTCAGGCAGGCAAAGGTGATGGTCCCTGTCTCCTAACATGGAATTTAGCAAATTACATTTAACAGTCAATAAGTTGACTGTGCAATAAAGGAAACATTAACTAATCATCTGGTTCCTGGTCTCTGTTCCCTGATAGCTATTTTTAGTTTCCTGGGATGGTAGCTCATAATTTTACTTTATATGGTGACTTGGATTTGAAACTGACCAATTCTAATTACAAAAATCAAACTGGCTTTCAAAGCTTCATGCTTTAGTTACTCGGTGTACTCTGATGACATTGGAAAAAAGTCAGCCACCTAAAACAAGAAAGGACAGTCACTAAAAGAGAAAAAAAGTTAATCAGAAGTAGGCGATTCATAGCAAGATGTGGGAGGCAGGACAGGTTATACAGAAAGGAGATTCAGAGCCTGCAACAGCCTTGAAAATGCTCTCCATGTTTGCATAATGGCTTTTAAAATGCTTCATTGTTTATAATACTTTCTTAAAAGAAACATTTCCTTTCTAACTAGCCTTGTCTTTTTGAATGTCTGAACATGCTGATTTATTTTTCCCCTGCAATTCTTCCGAAGCAAAACTCTAAGCAATTTGTTTACATGAAAATATATGAGCATAACCGCAGGGGAAAAGTATCTGTTGGTTAACTTCTACTCCCTGTAAGGACAAAAGCTTCAGAGGGGTAACTGAGTTAGTCTGTAACTGGAAAAACTTAAAAAACAAGAAATAGTCTAGTAGCACCTTAAAGGCTAACAAAACATGTAAATGGTGTCATGAGCTTTCGTGGGCACAACCCACTTCTTCAGATAACTTTAAGGAGTGGGTTATGCCCATGAAAGCTCATGATACCATCTACATGTTTTGTTAGTCTTTAAGGTTCTACTAGACTATTTGTTGTTTCGTAAGGAAAAAGATTGGTAACTTATGAATAGAACACTTAAAAGCTTTCTTCATTTTCAAATTAGTTCTTTTCCTACTGATTAGAGATGGCTCCACGCCATGAAGTCCAGATCCTGATTTGGGGGGCACATGCTGTTACCATTTATTTCAGTAGTGCAGATTTGGGGCCCTCATAAAGCTCATGTTACATAATACATATAATAAAAGATGGATCTAAGCACCAAATTTTAGGGCTATTCAATTACAAACATACCTCCCTATACCATAACTCTCCCACCTCCATTTCTTTAGGCCACCCCTATCTGTTTTTAAACTATTAAATATCAGTCTAAGCTTTTGGCTTTTTTGTGTGTGTGCCAGAGCCTTTCCTCAAACACAACATATTGCATTCCATCATTGTTCCCCTCAGCGCAAATGATCAGTGCACACTGCCCGGGAGAAGTTTACATTTCTAAAGCTATCTTCACAAAGACATAAATGGAAGCTGAGATTTTTTTTTGTTTACATTTCTAAATTCCCCCAGACCTTGGTGTTGAGTATTGAGGGGCCAAAGCCTTGCTCTGAAGTTCCTCTAGTTACTTCTTTAAAGCATTTTAATTCCTCCCACATCACAATTCACAAATGGCAAGTGCCTGAGCCACGGATGCCGGAATGGAGGGGGGGAGGATTTCCCCATCACTTTTAAATATGGGGGCGGTATTCCTTCCATTTTCACCTGCCTTATGGGCCAGCAATGGGAGAGGAGGAGCAAACAGCAGGCAGGGCCTCAAGGGAA